AAGAGAGGGAGCCTGGACGTGGCACAGGGCAGAGCTCCCTCCCCTCCTGCCGCCGCCGGGTCCTGCCCTGCCCTAGATGCTGCTAGGCTTGCGCGGTTAGCCTCCCAGTAAGGTACTCGGTACCTCCGCAGGTAAAGGTGGTCTTGTGAAAAGCTAGCCATAATAATGACTGTATCTATTCAGCATCGAGCCGTTAAAGGCATTTGGACCTCATTATGAGATGGATTAGATGGAGCTTTGTGCTGTAACAGCTCAGAGAATTTTTCTCTGAACACATAGGCAGGAGCGGCCAAAGCTCAAAACCGTTTTGCTTCATATTATGTGATATGCAAACTAAGCAGGGCTAACAACACACTGCAAATTACAGTTGTAAATACTTTGAGGATAAACTGGCATTGGATGGGATTTCTGTGCCCAGCATTCAATTTAAAAAGCCCCGAATTGCTCTTCTCTTGATTTCTATGACTGAATCTCAACAGTGTTTGTAATATCAACCCAGACTCTTGTGTATGTATGCCCTTTGTTCCCCTTTTAGCTAAAGAAATAAGCCAGTATGAAAAGTTATCCAGGCATCAGCCATTCAGGCCATTAAGGCAAACCAATGAGCAATGTCTAAATCAAACTCTGTGACATATACCAGTACTGTCACCCTGCCCTGCTGCTTGGGAAGGTTGGCAGAATCATCTATTCTGTCTTCTGTTCAGGTCACTACTGGCATTAATAGGGCATATCTTACTTAGAACCCATTTTACTAGTTTTTATGTGTATCATGTAAATCCAAAGTAAGAGAGCAGAAAGATATGAGAAAAACTCTGAGCTCAAGGTCTTTCAGGTAGATCAGTGGTAAAGGTAGAAGATGGGGGGTATTTGTTCTGCTTTTTATATTTTGGCATACTATCAGACCACCTAACCTCAGCATAGAAGGGAACTATTCTAAATTTCCCCTACAGGCAATGGTCTTGTTTGAGAACTCACTTAAGATCTAGATAGTTGTTTTGAGGGGTTTTTTTCTCTTCACTGATGAAAAGGTAGGATACAGGCAGACCAAGCAGGCTTTTCAGCTAGACAGTTCAGTTACATTCCTAAAGTTGGCTCAAGGAGTATCTACATAGAGACATTTGCACTCGCTCTTTCCATGGCTATATCCATAGACTATGTGGTGCAGCTTCATTCATGGTAGCAGAAGTAAAGCAGCGAAACGATGGCTAAAAAAATCCTTGGTTAGATTTTTACACATGCTGTTTCTTGTAATTTAATACCAGATTTGTGTACTACCAGGTAACCTGACAGTACAGTATTGGTCTGGATTAGACACTAACACACAGGTCTCTGGGGCAGAACAAAATGATGATGATACTGAACTCAGGTTCATTGAACCAATGGTGCTTTACGCAGGACGGAAAGTAAAAATGGTGTGAAGAGAAGACATCAAACATAAAATACAGTTTGCAAAAAGTTATTTCCACTTTAATCCAGTATGAACTGCCAAACTAAGTTTTTATCAAGTATTTTGTGCTTTATAGTTACCTCTCCCACTACTAGATGCCCCTGATGCTAGGTTTAATATATCACAGTATATTAAGATGCCATGGTCTAGTCATAGAATCATAGAATAAACCAGGTTGGAAAAGACCTCAAAGATCATCAAGTCCAACCCTACCATGGTTACTAGACCATGGCACTAAGTGCCACATCCAGTCTCAGCTTGAAAACCTCCAGGGACGGTGAATCCACCACCTCCCTGGGCAGCTCATTCCAATGCAAAAGATCTCTTCCTAATGTCCAACCTAACCCTCCCCTGGCAGAGCTTGAGTCTGTGCCCTCTTGTCCTCCTGCTGGTTACCTGGGAGAAGAGACCAACCCCCACCTGACTCCAACCTCCTTTCAGGGAGTTGTAGAGGGTGATAAGGTCTCTCCTGAGCCTCCTCTTCTTCAGGCTAAACTACTTATGTTGGTTCTGTGTGTCAAAAGTGAAGATTATTTTTAAATGCAATTTAAAAAACACCCCAGAACTGTAAAGAAAAACTGCTGTCAGATCCTAGAAGTGACATGAGAAAAGAAAAAAAAAATCTGTTGCAGTGCATTTAAATACATACATGATAATAAATATAATATCTATATATGACATCAACATGTGTCTACTGCTTAATTTTCAGTTAGCAAGCAACAGCTGAGGCTGCTTGCATGTTAAAGATTTTTTTTCCTCTGCACTCTTGTTCTCTGCATATTAAATTTCTGATGCAGGTTCCATTTACAGAAGATGCTTTGGCAGGCACAGGACACAGGGACTCAACCAGTGATCCCTTAGGTGCCTTTCTCTGGCCCCATTTGAGGCATTCTGTTACAACTGGAAGTCAGCTTCTTGCAAACACAACATTTACAAAACCTCCTGACATTTACACCAAAAGTCTTTTGCCCTGTTTCTGCTGAAATAAAGATCAAAACTTGCACACTTTGTTGAGGTTTTAATTAGGCCAATATTTTCACAAGTCCATAGTATGCAATGGAATATGATGCAGAGTTGCAAGCCAACACTTGGCCAAGCTCTGCACAGCAGCACTGTAGAGAGAAGTCCTGACATCTTGCTGCTATCTCAGTGTCTGAGCCAGAAATGTTGACCCTCTCAGCCAGGCTTAGCCTCTATGGAGCCTCACACTGCTGTGCTTAGTATTGGAACTGGCACAGTTGGCACAGTGCTCCTTCTTGTTGGAAAGGTACACACTCATCCTGCCTAAAAGGCAGTGCTGGGATGTCCTGAGTGTTTGTCTTTCCTGGATGTATGGTGTGAGATAATTGCATTAATGAAGGAGAAATTATCAAAACCAATAATCTACTAAAGACTGGAGGCTAATTGTTAAATAAACCTTCCACTCAGCACAAAATTCATACCCAAATCTATGTCCATAAGGCTTTTCTTTTTCCTACAACCTCAGATTTATTCCATTGGAATACCAGTGTGCCATCAAGAAAATATAACTATAGAGGGAAATTTCAGTTTTACTTTTGGTTAAATCTTTTCCCGTACCACCTTTTTTTATGTAATGAGTTTTATTCATCCACTTTTTAATATAAACAGAGTTATGGTTGCAATCCAGCAGCAGAAATTAGTCCCACTCTAATAACAAGGTACTTTCTAGAAAATTCAAACAACCAGCGAAGCAATGAAAGCAATAAATCCAGTAATATATTTTAGGTGCAACCAGTATACGTTCTCATGTTTTTCAATTTTACAAAAAAAACAATTGCCACTTTCCTTGCATGAGCTCAGGGCAGAAGGGAAGTTAATCACAGGGTGCTGTTAGGTTTCTAATCTGGCATCTTAAAACATTTCAGGGCTCTGCAAAAACAGGATTTTCTTTCAGTATGTACACCTAAGTAAGCAAACCCAGGCCTGTAAAAAGGCTGTCGCAAGCTGCAGGACATCTTTTTCAGACATGTCTTCTTTGGTAGGAAAAGGTTACATGCTTACTTTTCTGTGGTGCCTGCTGTGCTGTGTGGTGTCAGAAGTCACTTGTGATGAGGATCTATCAAGACGTCATTCATAGCTAGAGAGCAAATGAGCTAATAAAGACATCAGTGATACTAGTGTTTCGTTTTAGGAAGTTTCTCATGTGTTTTACAGGAGAATTTGAGACACTGCTTTACTTTCATAGGAGTGGAATTGGCCCATTGACTTCCAGTTCTGGGGACTCTATCTCTGAAATACAGTGTAACTGACTAATGAGAAGTCTTACATGAGATATATGTACATATTAAATCCTTATGCTGCAGTCCAGCACATCTACCATTTGTCAAGGAGAATTTCAAGAAGGAAATTAATTACTTTTCATTATTATGGCAAAGATGTTTCTGATAGCCTACAAATATTTATGTCTGCCCAGGGAGGTGGTGGATTCACCATCCCTGGAGGTTTTCAAGATGAGACTGGATGTGGCACCTAGTGCCATGGTCTAGTAATGACAGTAGGGTTGGTCTTGATGGTCTGTGAGGTCTCTTCCAACCTGGTTGATTCTATGATTCTATGATTCTATGCTCTGCTTTGCCAATGCAATGAAAATGGCAACAAAGGAAGCCCTCAAAACTGAAGAACTGTAATTGGTAACTTTTCCTCCTGTTTTCTTCAGGGTATTCTAGAGCGTTTGGATGCTGGAGAAATTGTGATTGGAGATGGAGGATTTGTCTTTGCTCTTGAAAAGAGGGGATATGTAAAAGCTGGGCCTTGGACTCCTGAAGCAACTGTAGAACACCCTGAAGCAGGTCAGTTTTACCGAAAAATGGGATTCTGTGTGGAAACCTCAGAGCAACTTTTCAATATCTGAAGGGGCCTATGGGGGAGCCAGAGAGGGACTCTGTGTTAGGAACTGCAGTGATAGGACCAGGGGCAATGGGTTCAAACTGAAGGAGGGAAAGTCTAGGTTGGATGTGAGAAAAAAGTTTTTCCTGTGAGGGAGGTGAGACACCGGCACAGGTTTCCCAGGGAAGTAGTGCATGTCCCAACCCTGGCAGTGTTCAAGGCCAGGTTGGATGAAGCCTTGAGCTACCTGCTCTGGTGGGAGGTGTCCCTGCCCAGGGCAGGGGTTGGGACTGGGTGATCTGTAAGGTCCATTCCAACCCCTAAAATTCCATGATTCAGTGATGATTCCTGTAGTGAATGTAAACATCGTTGGCCAAGTAATAAATATACAGGAACTTGCAGTAGGTTTTAAAATAGAAATGTTCCTTGACACTGTAGAATTACACTGTTAAGAGCCTAAGAACTTCTTATCTTACCCCTTGTACTTGCTCTAACACTGGCCAAAAGCAGTTGGCTGGGTAAGAATATGAGTAGTGCATACATCTAGTGATACCCCTCCAGAATGCACTCCCAGACCTCAATAATTTGTATCCCAGGGACTTTGTGTAGCAGATATGGTTATATTTGTGTTTAGGAATATTTGGTGGTTTCTCTCTCATGGATTTGTCCAGTCTGTCCTTGAGCCAATTGTTTAAAACTTAAAACTTCTCATGAAAAAGAATTTTGCAGTTAACTGTTTTGTTGTGTTCTAGTCATTCTAGGACTTTTACATAGTTATAAACTAATGTAGTTTGTTTATTAGTTCTTTCAGTAAAATAGCAGTTTTTAATAAACATCACAATGGGAGTATTTAATGTTTCTGGCTCCCCTATGAAATTGGGAATGATAAACTTCATAGGAACCTAAAAATTGCAATAAACATTTAATGGAGTAACTCTCTTAAAGTGGATGGATTAAAAAGGAACAGCCACTCCATGCCTTCCAGCATAAAGATTATAGTGTTTGGCATAAATAGTGCAGAAGCAGATGCTATTATCTATTTATGTATGCTTCATTACAAGAAAGCGTTTGCCCTGCTAATATGATGTGCAGTTAATCCCACAAGCCAGAGTATCCTGGGGGTAGAACATTTTCCTTGTTCTAAGTGTTTGCCCTTTCAAATTAATCTTTTCTTCTCTACAAGGGAAGAAGGAAGAGAAGGGGAAATAGAGATCTTAGCTCTCCTCATTACATTGCTTTGTACACCTCACCTGTTTATTCAGCCTAATCCTTCTCAGCCTTCAAGTGTCACTTATGTATAGCATGCCTAATTTAGGGTTATGAACAGCTTTAAAAGATGCAGAGCTCCAGCAAAGGAGCATTGATGACCTAACTTTCATCTCCCAAAGAGAGATTCCATCATCTCTCTCTCTCTCTATTTCTCTCCCCCTCTGCCCCTGCATGTCCCATCTTACAATTTACAGCACTTATCCTGTGCTCTTTACTTCCCCTCTGCATGTTATTTTGCACCTCAAAAGCCCTTGACCCTCTCCACATGTCCATTATAGGCTATTTGTAAAGGCACCCTTCAGTGGAACTATGTTCATTTCTCTTTGTGCAGTGTGGTGCCTCCCCTCTGTTACTGCTTCTTGCTCCTGCATGCTCAAGGCTCGTGTTACTTTGAAGGCAGGTGGGGAGGGGGAACAGAAGGAGCAACTGGCTGAGCCAGCAGGTGTAAAAACCACACAACTACCAGAGCTTCTTGTCTCTATAAGGAGAGAAGGAAAAGGAGGGAGGTTCTGAGAACGCAGGAAGGAATGAAAAAAATAAAAGAGTGAGTTCAAGGCCTTTATTACATGAGAGGAGTTTTGCCACACTGACGGACTTAGAAATGAGATCTAAGTATTCCTTCTGAGACAGATCAGGTGTTGCCCTGCAGTGAGCTGTAGGTGCTTGTTGCCCCTCTCTCCTGTTAGCTTATATTTGTGTCTTTCATGAAACGTTCAGCTCATGGTGGATTGAAATGAAAACTCAGCATTATACACCTGACTTCTCAAATTATGCATCAAGTAGTGGTTTAGCCTCCTACGTGGCTATATCCTCATTTCTCAAATGCTGGAAGAAAAACACAGTTTCAGTAACATGTTGAAAGTCACACAAATTGCAGAGTGGTTTGGGGTTTTGATAGTGCATACTGATGTGGGTTAGATAATAGCAGGACTGTATTCTGCTGGTAAAAACTATTTGCCTGGGGTTGAATGAGATTCAGGCTGATACTTACAACAACACTATTGTTTCCCTCAACATTTAGATCCGTTCAAAAGTCTCTTGTTCACATACCTGATAGTTTAGGGTATGACATTCCATAATCATACGTGTTAGGTTATGTTTCATTTCCCTGCCTATGTCACCATTCTTATTCACACAATCCTAGGCATCCTTCTAGGAATGCAAGAACCATATTTAATGAGCACTGACCATGGGGGTGAAAAAAAATCTGGTCTACTATCTAAATGTTATGGAGCATTGGTGAAAATATTTGTAGATTCTACTTTTTTTTTCTTTCACTTTTCCCATTTCCTGACTAGTTTTCATCAGTGATTTCTCATTGGGGAGAATAGGAAAAAAAAGGTACAGAACACTAGAAGCAAACAGAGACAGCCTTTTTATTTGGGATCAATAGCATATTTTAGTGCTGTAGGAAAAAGGATACTCCTTGCACTACAATTTTTTGCCTGCATAAAGGTGTAGGAATTAAATTGGATCCCAGCAGTTTGAGCAGATTTCAGGGTCTTTCTGAACTGTAGCTCTGCTGTAATCTGTGTCCTGGAAAGGTCTTTGTGACTGCTGGGAAAGGAAGCACTGTGTTAAATCACAGAGTGGTTACCCAAGGCTGTAATTATAAATTCAGTACTGTACTAATAGAGAAAAGCAAGGGACACTACACTGTTCCTGCAGTGAAGGCGTGCTTGCACGTATGCAGGTTGATTCTAGCAGCTCATACTGCTGTTTGAGCTTCTCTAGCGTGGAAAGCTGTGTCTGTTGCAGCAGAAGGGAGAAATTTTATTGTCATGACATAGTCACACATTTCCCTAATGACACAAGCTGTAGACAATGAATTATGATAAACCAGGACTTCAGGAAAACCTTTCCCAACATCTGCTACAGAAACTGCAGTGTTCTTGTGTCTGTGTACAGTATCCAGGGAATAAATTATTCTTGTATTTGCTATAAATTGTTGAGCATTTAACTGGGTTTTGCATGACTTCTAGTGTTCTAGAAATTAAAGTAATTATTGTTCTGTGAGTACACACATAAAATCAAGTGACAGCTCCTGTTCTGTTCCTGATGTGGTGATTGCAGTGTACTGCTTACAGCCAGGAAGGCACAACTCCCCTCACAGATCCTTCTCCCAAAGTCCTAATGTAGGAAATTGGCCCATTAAAAGTAATTGCAACCTTTCCTTTAAGAGAAGTGTTGTCTCTGCAGTAAAATCATCATGTGAGAAGAATTAACTCTATGTCATGAGTCACTTTTCTCGAGCAACAAATCATCTTTTAATCAAAGGTGTATTTAGCAAAACAGAACTTTGGTTTTGGCTGTCCAGACTCTTAGAGTTTTGGTGGGGGAGAATACTCAAAAATACAAAACAGAGGATGTAATGAAACAGTGTATTCTTCCACAGAATTATCATCCCATCCCTTAGTTTGTTGGCACAATACTTTCTTCTGTTTTCTGTTTCACAATCTAGAAGCTAGAGAATGCAGATTTTCATTTGATCATCTAGTAGTCTGGTATTCCTTATTATGTTTTCATGTTCTTTGGTTAGATGCCTGCTTTCCCTTCCTAAATCACTGTCCAGCACTGTAAATGAAACTGGGAGGTCTGAAGGACTGAGGAAAGTCGAAGATAGGCAAGCTGGCAGGCAAAACTGAATCTCCTGATGAACTAAATAGAAATCTTCAGTCGTTCTTAGCAGAGGAAAGCTAAGGAGAAAGTTTTCTGCCTAATGTTCTGAGAGTGAGAAGAGAGAAATTCTACACAGACTGGGGTACTCCTTCTATGCTCTCGTAATGGCTCTTCTAGTATCACTTATTTTACAGTACCATTACTTCAGTAAACATATGATTTTGGAATAACACTGTAATAACTGTACCAAACATCTCTTCTTTGTCTCTTAATTTGCAGTTCGCCAGCTTCACCGGGAATTCCTCAGAGCTGGATCCAATGTTCTGCAGACATTCACCTTCTATGCCAGTGAGGACAAACTAGAGAACAGGGGCAATTATGTAGCTGAGAAAATAAGCGTAAGTAAAACAGTTTTGATGGACACGTGAAATAAATTGGTTAACTTGAAGGAAAAGGTTTAGTAGAGAGATTATCGAGTACTTTTGCAGTTTGTCATGACAGTTTTGGCTATACTTGAGGGCCAGAGAATGAGATGATGCAATTACAGAGTTTGGAATAGTAAGAAAGACAAGTAAAAGGATGAAAGAACCCCAAACCATAATGGGGCAAGGATGAAGAGAGGAAAGAGAATTCCTACATGGTATTTTTTCTCATTTGAGGAGATTGGTTTACTGGAGTTTTGATACAAAGAGTATAGGGAGGACTAAATGCACATAGAGCCAAATTAATGAAAAAGAAATGCTTTAAAATCCATATAAACAAATCAACTGCAAAAATGGCGAAGAATCTTGGAGAATAATAAGTGGATAATGAGAACAAAATGGGTTTTAGAACTGTATCTTCAGTAAAGTAACATCGAAAAAAATCCAAGCTGTAGACAGTGGTCAATACTCCCCTTTTCCCAGGTAAGGGTGATCTGTTACGGCAACTGAAGTACCACATTGGTATTTTTTTGCCCCCTACACAAAGGAGCTGTAGGATGTTATGTGTGTTCATTAGATGCAGGCTCAAGGTCCAATGGGACTTCTGGCACAGACATTTCTAAATAGTTCCTCTGAGACTAGAATGTTTGTCATTGAGTGGTTTATCTGATTCTTTGTCCTTTGGTCCTATTGCCTGTTTCAACCTCTGCAAAACAGAGAAGATTCTCCAGGGCTCAAGGAGGAAGGAGTCATTGAATCTGTGAAGATATTTCCAGTTAGAACAATCTGAACGCTGGGACAACAATTGAGGCTTAATTGAGGTTATACCAATATGAACAAATTTGTCTGAAATGCTGTACCCTACAGTCAGTAGATGCAACATTGAAATGTCTGAAGTGGTACCTCTGGAACAAGCCATGCTGCAATTCTTGCTGCCATGCAAAATTGTCAGGGCTGGAGAGCACCTGGCATTGGGAATGCATTGCAGCAAACCTTTCAAAACTGATTTCCTGACAGTTCTAAAAGCAGGTTCCTCCAGGATTTTACTGGTTCATGGTTCCACCTCGCAGAGTTCCCAAACATGTACCAGAGGACAAGTGCAAATGGAAGACAATTTGCCAGCACTGGCCTTAAAAATCAGCTGTGTCTTTTGAGGCAGCTAAGAGAACTGCAGCTGAGAGAGAATTGTGTAGGTTCTAAGTTGTCCATGGGCTGCAGAGAAACCTGCTACAATCAGTGCTTGTTATCTATCCCAATTAATGATTGTTTTCCCCAGATCTTTTTTCCCTGGCATAACTTCTGTTCCAAAAGCCATTCTGGTCATCCTGATTTAGATATAGAGGGAATCTGTATTTCAGTCTAGGTGATAAATTGATCATTAATTGTAGTGAGAAGTTTCCCTCTACTATTCTTAAATAGGTAACTTTAACATCAGATAATTAGGGATATCTTTTTTTAATGCCCTAAATAACTCTGTCTGAATATTATACTGATTTTTTTAAATTATCAGAATACTGAAATACATTTTAAAAAATCAATTGAAATTACCACATATTTTGTTTTCCAGCAAGAAATGTCAGAATAAAATCATACACTTAAATGTAACTGACTCATTTTCTCAGAGGCAAAGAAAATTCCACCTCACACCAAATACTTGCTCTTTGTAGACTTATTTGTGTAAGATGTATTAAAGATAATATGTTTTCATAGCATTTAATAATGTGATAACTTAGAGGTGGCCAAAAATTTGTTTTCTAATGTTTGTTATTGTTTTGAAAGAATCTGATCTTCCTAATAAATATTACTTTAAAATTCATTAAGCCTTTATGGCTTTTGACTCTTTTTGTCTTTTTTGTGCTCTGAAATTATATGCATGTCTCTGACCAGGTGAAACTGACCTTATCTATGTTCACACAGTGCCAGAAAGTGAATGAAGCTGCTTGTGACATTGCAAGAGAAGTGGCTAACGAGGGTGATGCTTTAGTGGCTGGAGGAGTCAGTCAAACTCCATCATACTTGAGCTGCAAGGATAAAACAGAGGTTAAAGCAGCCTTCAGAAAGCAACTAGAAGTCTTTATGAAGAAGAATGTGGACTTCCTCATCGCAGAGGTAAATCAGTCAGAAAAGTTCACGCCTTCAGTTGGCACAGCGTTAACTTTTAAGATGTCTAGTCTACTTTAGGGACTACAACTATATATGGCTTCTTCTTTCGAAATTTTCTGCTGTGGTTTATCCCAGTACCATCAGATATTTTTCTAAATGCACAAAAGCATTTGCAGGTGTCCTGGAACAGGACCTTGAGACCTAAATTTCTACCTTAGTCAAGTCGAATTCTGTACTGGTACAAAGGGGTTGTATTAATGGGATTTTGACTAGTTCCTATTTCTTCCCATGATAAGCAACCTAAGATGACTTTTCTAGACGAAAATAGTTCCTGGGTTGATCCTTGATTAACCTCCTGCATGGACATTCTTATTCTGAAACAAAAGTCTCATTTCTTTTACTCACTGACTTGTAAAAATCCCTTTTTAACTGTGTGGTCTGTGAACTCCCTAGAGTTCTGATAGTATAAACCAGAAAAGAATCAGGTCATTGTATTGCTGGTGTATTCGGGGCCTGGATTAATGTGTTTATGCTTCATTGCCAAGAAACAGAAGTAGCCCAATTTTAATTTCTTTCAGTACTTTGAACATGTCGAAGAGGCTGTCTGGGCAGTGGAAGTTCTAAAAGAATCTGGAAAGCCAGTTGCAGCTACAATGTGCATTGGTCCAGAAGGAGACATGCATGGAGTGCCCCCTGGACAATGTGCTGTCCAGCTGGTAAAGGCTGGTAAGAATCTGTTTCAACATGCCCTTTAAAAGTGTGGAACAAAGTAAAGTCCTTAAGTATTGAGCTAAATGGATGTGTATCTCAAGTAGGTAACTTCCCAGTTAAGTCTGATAAAAGCTTTGACTCTAAAGAAAAGTCTTTGTGTGTACTTTAGTAAAGCAGTCTTGGAACTGGAAATGCAGGTATGAAATCCTTGATAGCCAGGATGGGAGCAATAGCCACAGACAGCTGATACTGAATACAGCAAAATCCTAAATCTACTCACATTTGGTCACAGAGCCAGACCCAAATTCTATAGTCACAAGCAGGATCCAAAGCCACTTTTGATTCTCTGCTTATGTGTTTTGAAATGTATGGAGCACAGTTCAAATCCAGGGTGAGTAAGAGGATGAAAAAATTAATCATTTTGCCTATCAAAGGCTGTTTTCTGCAAGACAAGGGGAAGGACAGAAGAAATTAATCAGGGGCATGATGAATGATGGCACAAGGGTTTGTTACACCTGCTCTGAGCTCCTCTTTTCCTTTAGAATGAGTGTTGAAATCCAAAAATAGAACTAGTATTAGGAACCTATTGCATGTGTATGTGCATAAACAGACTTCACTGATTAAGGACTGGTATGAAAAGCAACTCTAGGAGGGTAGAAGATGTGAGGCATCATCAGCAGGTACAGAGGAGTGCAACTGAAATGTAAATGGAATGCGTCACCTCAGGAGAGCTGGGTCTGGCTCTAACACAGCTGCCTTCTATTCCTAACACTGATACAAGGTTGGACCACACTGCTTCTGGAGTGCTGTGGCTAATAACTTTCATGTCCCACTTCCTGGGGAGATGTGACCTGAAATTATTTCCTCCTCCTAGGTGCTTCTATCATTGGAGTCAACTGCCATTTTGATCCAGAAATTTCCCTGGAAACTGTGAGACTGATGAAAGAGGGCTTGCAGGCTGCTAAACTCAAAGCCCACCTGATGTCCCAGCCACTTGCTTTCCACACGCCTGATTGTGGAAAACAGGGTTTTATTGACCTTCCAGAATTTCCTTTTGGTAAGACTAGGGTATATTTTTTATTGTTCTTGGTTTGTTTGCTTTTGCTTTGTTGTATGTTCCTCATTTATTTTCCCCCAACTTTTAGTAAAGCTGAAGCTGCAAGGTGTCCTACACAATATGATGAATCCCAGTTATCCTGTCTGGCATTTTCCAGAGTGATTACTGTGTAATATTGGTTTAAAGATCATCCACATAGTAAGAATACTTCAGTAGTATCATAGCATGTGACTGAAAGTGAAGTTATGATGAAAACAGTTAAAATGCCACAACCTAAACTCAGTTAAAACATTGTTCTTCATTGTGCCATAGAACCTTGTTCAGGACAGCTATAAACAGTTCAAAGAAATGAATAACAGCAAATACACTAAAAAAACCCCATTGTTCTAGGTTGTGACATTTATACCATGAGGCCTAGTTTACCTGTTTAATGTACAATGCATATTACTCGTAATAATTCAGTCTTGTAAGTGTGACTGTTACTATAAGTGAGATTAGAGAGAAACACGGAAGGACTTTTATGTTGTTAACAAATTAGCGGTCTGGAGAAGAACTCATCACATGGATGTTCAGGAGAAACTCTACAAAGATTGAAAGATTCAGACACTTGATATGTTTATAAGGCTTCTGTATTTAAGGCTTATTTTCACCTGGAATGTAGAGGATCCCTTTAATATAAAGACAAAATCAGCTTAGACTGATTTTTAAGGCTGATTAGAAAAAGTCTTTCATATTCAGATATCATACACCTTTCTTTTCAAGACCAGACTACAAGGTATTCAAACATTTCCAACTTGAATTTTTAGCAAAAAAACCTGAGAGATGTGAAGTTTGTTGTTTTTCTTTAAATGCCTCTCTACACAAACGAAGGGAAGAGATTAAAGTGTGAGCTTGAGGCATTCATTAAATGCTAATAACATGTCTGAGTTCTGAAAATATTCTGAGATCTTTAAAAGTGTTAGGAACTCATTTATCCTATTCATTCCTTCCTGTGACTCCTCTGATTGCAAGCAAAAAACCCCAGATAGAACAGATGCAGTAAATAATCAAGTCAATGGAAGGATTTGCTCTTTGGTTTGTTATGGTTCTTGGCTTGTATATTATAAACATCCTGTGCGAGATCTCAGCATTCAGAACTGCTACCAATAATTGGCAAAGACTCGTTCTGCGAGTGTTTTCAGTACCCAGAAGTAGCAACTGATCAGCTGACAGCAGATAAGCTGTTTAGTAAATCACTGTTAAACTGACTCAATGAACTGTTTTTTTGTGGAAAGCAATATGCACAGAGAGGAATTTAGGTATCTGAAGAGAACATAACATCCATACAGGCCAACAAGATCTCAGTTCCCAGGAGAGCAGTAGCTATGTTGTATTGACAAACTCCAGCACCTAGATGCCAGATCTAAAATAAAGATCTAAAAATCTAGATCTAAATCTAGATTTATTTTTCTCTACGACTTTTTCCATTTTTCTGTGTTCTCCCTCCTGTGCTACTGCAATTGTTCTGAAATGTTGCCAGTTAAACAAGGACAGTGTTTTAGAAATAACTACAAATCCCAACTGAAACCACTGGCTGATCATGGGGAAAAAGGTGTAATAAGCATTCCTGAGGAATAATGAGCAGGCTTATTCCTGTGCAGGTAGGTTGACACCTTCTCCTTTCACGTATTTCCCAGATATTGATTGTTTATTAGGAATTCTTCAGAAAGTTAGGCATGACATTGAAAGCATTCCAGTACTCCAGCTAAGAACTCTGGCAAGCACACGATCAGTCTCAGAAGACACTAGGTGCTGTTTTGCAAGGCCAAAAATGCTAACAAGCACAGGTAAGCAGAGCACAGTAGAATCTGAAAGTTAGACATCTGAAAGTTTGCACCATTAATTCTCGGTCAGGCAGTTCAAACACGCACATCTACATTTTGCAAACAGCGCAAGTGATTCAACAATACGATTTCTTACCAAAAAAATATGCTGAAATGGACCATGGTGGAACCTAAAGATATGAATGTCTCTGCAGGTCTGGAGCCAAGAATTGTAACCAGGTGGGACATTCAGAAATATGCAAGAAAGGCCTATGACTTAGGAGTTCGTTTCATCGGAGGTTGCTGTGGGTTTGAGCCATACCACATTCGAGCAATCGCTGAGGAGCTGGCTCCTGAAAGGGGATTTTTGCCAGAAGCTTCTGAGAAACATGGTAGCTGGGGAGATAATCTGAGCATGCATACCAAACCCTGGGTCAGAGCAAGGTATGTATATCTGACCTGGAAAGAACACTAACACACCTCTTGCAAAGGCTTATAGTGCTCCATGCAGCAGACACTGGCTTAACTGGTATGGAGGACTAAATATCACTGTAGACGTTCTATGGGTTGAAAACTTTAAAGAATTAAATCTGATCTAGGAGCAGGGAAAGGGGTGAAGGAGCAACAGAGTAGCTCCTGTGAAAGTGGTTCGAGAAAGTAAAGATCAAAACATGACAGTGCTGTAGAACAGCTCCTAATGGCTTACAGCATTCCTTCCAAGGTTGAAGAGATACTCTAAGGTACCGCTTGAGCGCATCACATTTCATTGCACACTTTAGTTCTTACTTCTGTATCTAATTATAACATCAATCTATACAAGTTATGTGACCCTTTGCACTGGTCATTTAAGCCACTTCCCTTTCAGTATTGTGAGGTGCTGGAAAAAAACGCTGAATTTCCTTTTCTTTCCTTAGGGCAAGAAAAGAATACTGGGAGAACCTGAAGCCTGCTTCAGGCAGGCCATACAGTCCTTCCATGTCTAAGCCAGATGGCTGGGGAGTGACCAAAGGAGCCAAGGAGCTGATGCAGCAGAAAGAGGCAACAACTGAACAACAGCTGAAGGAGCTCTTCCAGAAACAGAAGTGATTTATCTACAGACCATCTCATGCGTCACAAGAAAGTCTGTGGTGATGAGCACCCTGTTGATTTTATCAGTTAAAATCTAATGAAAGAGACAAAATGCAGAAAGAATGTGATTGCAAGGCAAATATGTCAAACTTTGATAATAAAATCTTTCTCTGGACAAATAGTTTAGAGAGTACACAGTAAAAAATAAGTTTGGATTCTCATAATGACTGAGCTTCTGTTAGGTGCCAATAATTGGGTAGACATGGAAATACCTGGGAAGTAGTAATTGGCTCAACTCACCTGTGAAAAGAGAAAAAGCCATCTATAAATACAGTGTCAATGGACTTCCATTCCCAAATCTATTTTTAGCTTGGGATTATGTAGGAGCTTCCTAAAACCTCAAGATTTGTTGAGGACTACTTCAGAGACACACATCCTGCCAATACTTCAGACACACAATTATTTGTAGTCACTTCCTTGACATCAAGAGAATAAAAGTAAACTGGAAAACACATTTTAGGATTGTAATTAAAACATAAGGAGAATGAGATCTTGAGGAGTTTCTTATACGGAGGGCGGAGGGTTCAGAGAACTTCTAGGAAAGAAAAATGACAGGTAAATAACTGTTTTTGTCTCACGGTGCCACGCACAAGATTTACTCTTCTGGAGACTAAAAGGCTTAAGAAATTATTCTAAAATTTATTTAACAAGTCAAATAAATTCAAAATAATATGATGGAATAATATTGTATTATCTTCACACCTTAAATCATAAGATCAATCAAAGAGAATAACATACCTCCAGTAAAAAAACTAATTTCAAAACTATGCAGGTAATCTCTGAAAATATCATTTTAAATACTTTGTTATCTCAAAATAGGCAAATACCTGAAGCTTCCTAAAATTTTATAAGAGTAGTAGAACATGCCAGCACTTCGGGTTTTTTTAAGCTGATTGATTCATTCTACAATCTTAACAGTAACACATTAAAAAAACTGTTAGGAAATAGATAATCCACTTAGGAAAACATTTGTACACTGATTTTGTTGAGAAGGGTTTTCATAGGAGCACAAGTGCCATGAGGAGAGTTTGAGGGAGCTGGGGTTGTTTAGCCTGGAGAAAAGGAGGCTCAGGGGAGACCTTATCACCCTCTACAACTCCCTGACAGGAGGCTGGAGTCAGGTGGGGGTTGGTCTCTTCTCCCAGGCAACCAGCAGGAGGACAAGAGGGCACAGACTCAAGCTCTGCCAGGGGAGGGTTAGGTTGGATATTGGGAAAAGGTTTTTTACGGAGAGAGTGATCAGGCATTGGAATGTGCTGCCCAGGGAGGTGGTGGATTCACCATCCCTGGAGGTTTTTAAGATGAGACTGGATGTGGCACTTAGTGCCATGGTCTAGTAACCACGGTAGGGTTGGACTCGGTGATCTTTGAGATCTCTCCTAACCTAGTTGATTCTATGATTCTATGATATCACTATACTTGGAACCCATAAAGGACACATTTTCATAATTTATTTCTGTGAAACACCACACAACTTAGATTTCTCTCTAGAATGTCATGCCCACCCATTGTATGTTAAAGCAACCACCTTTATGGAAATCATAGAATAATAGAATAATAGAATTTAAGTGTTGGAATGGACCTTTCAGATCATCTAGTCCCAACCCCATGCCATGGGCAGGGACACCTCCTCACTAGTTCATGTTGCTCAAGGCCTCATCCAGACTGGCCTTGAACACTGTCAGGGTCGGGGCAGCCACCACGTCCCTGGGCAACCTGTGCCAGTGTCTCAGCAGCGTTACAGCAAAAAACTTTTTTCTCACATCCAACCTAGACTTTCCTTCCTTCAGTTTGAACCCATTACCCCTTGTCCTATCACTGCAGCTCCTAACACAGAGTCCCTCTCTGGCTCCTTGCAGCCCCTTCCGATATTGAAAAGTTGCTCCGAGGTCTCCACTCAGTCTTCTCTTCTCCAGGCTGAACAGCCCCAATTTCCTCAGCCTGTCCTCATAGGGGAGATGCTCCAGTCCTTTTATCAACTTTGTGGCCTCCTCTGGACTAGCTCCAACTGTTCCATGTCCTTCTTATTCTGAGGACACCAGAATTGCATGCAGTATTCCTGGTGGGGTCTCATGACAGCAGAGTAGGGGGGAACAATCTCATTCTCAAAGTTAAGTGTTGAAAGCTTTTATTCCACTATTCTTTATGTAGAAGGTTATTTCACTATTTCTACCCATGTTGGTATTCTGCAGTTGAGGAAACACCTAAATATGCAACCCTTCAATGGGAAACTTCAGGTATCCTTTTTAGACTGTTACAGGCAGACAGATTTTAGAATAAGACATCTGCCCTCCCCAGGCTTAAAACAGATTGAAATACTTACTAGCTGGAAATTTTGCCTGAGAGCTGAAGGCAGACAAATCAAGACAGTAGATTTTTTAAAATGTAGATTATTTGGAAAACACCCATATAAGTATGTATTCACTACATTAAACTCCTTTCCTTCCTAAATGATTCTGGGCATTACCCCATGCAGAAAGTGGAATAATGCAAAATCTGTATAGCAGAAGGGATAGATCTTTGATCATCAGACAGATCAGACAGATCATCACCAAATGTATACAGTATTGAAGACATATGCATGATACAGTGGCTTAAAATACAGACTACAGTTGATAAAGAAGTGTTTTGGACAATCGTTAGTAGTTTAGGGATTTCCTGTGGCATAGAATGCAGCTTCACCATCACCATTTCCTTCTATGACAAAGTAACCCACCTAGCTGGTCAAGGGAAGGCAGTTCATGTAATCTTTGTGGATTTCAGCAAAGCTTTCTGTGGAGTCTCTCACAGTATCCTTCTGGGCAAAATGCCTAGCACATAGCTGGATAGACACACCATGAGATGGGTGAGCAACTGTCTCATGGATCAGGCACAAAGGGTTATAGTGAATGGGGTGACATCAGGCTGGTGACCAGTCACTAGTGGGTTCTGCAGGGCTCCATCTTAGGCCCAGCGCTCTTCAACATCTTCATAAATGACTTCAAGGACTTGAAGGGACAAATTTGCAGACAATACAAAACTGTGAGGAGTTGTTGATTGTCTCAAAGGCAGAGGGGCCTTGCAGAAAGACATTGATAAATTAGAGGGCTGATTGATCACCAACCATATGAAGTTTAACAAGGGCAAGTGCTAGAGCACTAACAAGAGCACCTGTGATGGGACAACCCTGGACAGACAGACTAGGAAATGAGATGCTGGAAAGCAGCACTGTGGAAAGTGACCTGTGGGTCCTGGTCAGTGGCAGGCTGAATATGAGTCAGCAGTGCTCTGGCAGCCAGGAGAGATATCTGTGTCCTGGGGGACCATTAGGCACAGCATCACCAGCAGGTCAAGGAAGGTGATTGTTCTGCTCTGCTCTGTGCTGGTGCAGCCTCACCTTGAGTCCTAGGTGGCAGTTTTGGGTACCACAATAGAAGAAGGTATTAAGCTATCAGAGAGTGTCCACAGGAGAGACATGAAGATGGTAAAGTGCCATGAGGGGAAGAGGCATGAAGAGTGGCTGAGGTCACTTGGTCTGTTCAGCCTGGAGAAGAAGAGATGGAGGATGGACCTCATTGCAGTGTAGAACTTCCTCCTGCAGGGCAGTGCAGGGGCAGCACTGTCCTCTGCTCCCTGTGACCAGTGACATGATATGAAATAAAACAAGAGAAAAACATTAACATCTCTCCCAGTTTGATAGAAAAATTTGAATGTGTAAACGTAAAGCACAGAATACATGTTTTGCATTTAGGTTTTTGCTCAAAGGTTATAAAATGTTCTCGCTCAGTTTGGCACTTGGTGTGATCCTCAGGGATGTCCTGTGCAGAGCCAAGAGTTGGACTTGATGTTCCTCATGGTCCCTTCCAACTCTGAATATTCTGTGATTCTGTAAACTATATAAGCAGCTGGACTGACTTCTTGGAAACTGCTCAAACATCCAAAAATTTGTATTGAAGTGAATTAATTAATTTCACAACTCAGAATATTGAAGAACCTGATATTTACAAAGATGATAAGATTTTTGAATTTTCAGATACCCAGTTTGGAAAGGATGAATTTAACACCATAACAATGATGAGAAATATTTAAAGGTGATTTGAAGCCATTGAAAAAAGAGGGTTGACCCAAGGGGGAAGCTATACATTCCCTCTTTGATTCATGTCACAGGCTGGGCTTGTACAGGAATTGACAGAGGGATGAAAACCTGTGTCAGGGTGCTTTATTGGTCACTAAAGATCCCCAAACGATTGAAAAAAAAAAAAGCCCAACAAAAAAACCCCAAAAGAACCCAACAGTCCTACCCTCAAAAAAACCCAAAACCCAAAAAAAACCCAAGCAGCAAAGCCAACCAAGGTTTATTTCCCATTTCTTCCATAGTGAGGCATAAGGGAACTTAGATTTGTTAAAGCTTTCTAATGGTTTATTGCACGACTTGTTAAGGAAAAAAGACAGGCTGACAGCACAATCCTAGGAAACTTATTTCCTTAGAAAGCCTGTCTGAAAACTTAGGAAGTGAAAGGGGCTTTAGAAGGTTAGCTCCTGTATTTAGTACCCTAAGGCAGCATCAGCTATTCATAGGGGAAGGCATCTGTTTAACCTGTGTGGAAATACATCTCATGGTGGAGCTTCCTTGCCACTGCCAGGCAGTCTGGTTACTTCTTAACAAAGCTGTCCTAATTTGAATATTCCTTGATGGAATTCAAATCCATTATTTCTTTCCAGCTCATAAGAGACATGAAGATTTTCTTCCTTTTAACTTTGCTGAAGTGTTTTGTACACCTGAAGATTTAAATAAACTCCTCGTTTCTCTCTCAACTGAACAGATCCTGTTCTGTCATTCTCCCACTCTGGTCTCTGAGGCTGTGATTCATCATAAACCAAGAGATCACCTCCATCAGATCTTTTCCCAGAGCTTCCTATCTCTATGGGGCTTTTTAACCTGCAAGCAGATGTGAAGTGACCTGAACCTCAGAAGTTCAGATCCAGAA